CATCCGACGATGCATTTAAATGCACTTAAATGCAATATAGGAATAATTTAATTATCTGTCATCAACAAATTCACGATGATCATAAATGAAATATCTGCGGCAAATGCCAAAAACAAAATTGGTAATGCAGCTGCAATTAAAACCCATTAAACAGTTGGCTAACAATTGCGAACGTGGCATTTGGTTTTGATGGGTTTTTTAGATTTAACTACTTTATTAGTGTTATTATTAAATCATTCGATATCATCGAGTCGAATCGAATTGCATCGTATCGTGTTGCATCGAATCGCATTAGTATTGACAGATTGCATAGATTGACAGACATATAATGATATCTCACAGTTATCAATTGTCGTTAATTGAAATTTAATTATGTTTTCCTAGATGTGACAGACTGTGTTGAATATGCAATATGTACGAGCATGAATTCATTAAATTACAACGAATTTATTAGAGCGGTTGGGCATGTCGTTGATGTTCAATGTCCAAGCAACAGACGCGTTAACATGATTTTATAAATTCATTGAAAAGGTGAAATCAACTGTCATATCAGACCCACTCTTGAGCCTCTCTGTCAATCAATCTCAAGATATGTTTAATACTTAGAAGACTCATTACTTTCGTGGGAGTCACATAGCCAATCAAATTTATTTAAAGTTGGTATTTTGGGTTATAAGTTAGTAAAAATGGTTAAATTAATTTCAACCAGCAACCATTTGGTAGCCACTGCAAGTTGTAGCAATTACCCCTCTACTGACATAAAATGAGTGTTTAACTCTAGTGTTATACACATATAAAGCAATCTTTTTGAGCTTATTACACTGTGCAACAAAAAAATAAATACGGTGAAAATCCACCAAATTATGAGAGTAGAGCTAAACAAGTAAAAAAGCTGTAAGTTCGGCCGGGCCGAACTTTAAATACCCTCCACCATTTGAAACAAATTTTACAATTCTCAAAAAAAGAAATAAATAACCAATAAAATCCGTTAAAAATTCTGTTAAAAATGTAGAAATACCGAATGTAGCTGTAGGGTCTATACGACGACGTGGACCTGCATAGTCAACTTTTGTCATAAGCCATTACAATATTCAAATGCGAAACTTTAAAAAAATTGGTTAATAATGAAGCTAAAATCATCGAAATGCCCAATATATGGGGGCTATACCAAAACGTGGATATAGGGGCTATACCAAAACGAATTTCAGATACATAATTTGAAACAATTCCGGTGAAAACGTCGCAAAAATCATCAAAATACCGAATATCGAGAGTTGCCATTACATGGGGGCTATACGAAGACGTGGATCTGCACACACAAGTTTCTGTCGTAGGCTGTAGTATCCATTACGAACTTCAAATACCAAAATTCCGGTGGAAAATGTCGCTAAAATCGTCAAAATACCGAACATTGGGAGGTGCCATTATATGGGGGCTATACGAAGACGTGGACCTACATAGCCCATTTTCAATACCAAAAGTCTTGCAGACATAATACAAATTTGAGTACAATTTTATCAACCTACTTCATTTCGTTCGGAAGCTACTGTGATTCCACAGACCGAGAGACGGAAATCGACATAGAATTTTATTCCGATCAAGAATATACATTGTGAGATAATAAAACTGCAACAAAGTCAAACGCCATACATTTTTACATATTTTTTAAATTTTATTAAATGAAAGCAAAAAATGTCGGAAATATCATCACATTTTAGGATAAGTTTAGATTTTTTCGAATTGGTCACCTTTGGCACGGATTATGGCTTTCAAACGGCCAATGAAACCGTCACACGCTGCCCGAATGTTGCTCTGCGGTATTTTGGTCCATTCCCGACGAAGCGCTTGCTTGAGGTGAACGACACTATGGTACCTTTTGTTTCCAACCATGCTTTCCAAAATACTCCAGGCACAATAGTCCAACGGATTGCAACCCGGAGATTTTAGTGGCCATTGTGTGCTGGAAATGAAGAGAGGAACCTCATTTGTAACCATTCTTGAGTGGCGCGTGCTGAGTATGATGGTGCTGAGTCCAATTGGAATATCCAAGGTCTGCGGCCAAAATGTTTGCATGCCTATGATTTTAATACACCCTCCGATAATATTCGGCATTTATTCTGATGCCACGGTCGATTAATACAAGCGGAGAGCGACCATCGGCTGTTATGGCGGCCCACACCATCACCATGGCCGGCGCTTGAGTTCTGTTGGCCAACCGAAGGTGCACATTTTCAGACGTCAAGATTATAAATCTTATCTTAACGCCAGAATTTTATATATATATCAACGATACGATACACTTTAGTGTTAAAGCCGTGCTTTGTGTTTGTTTATTCAAAATCTCAAACAAAGAATCGTTTTAGAAGGATGACGTCAAAGACAAAAATATTCTTAATCAAAATTCAAGGTTGCAAAAGAAAATAAGACTTAGCATTCATTTCATATCAAAAAAAAAAAAAAAAATAAATAAAATGAAAATAATAATCAATCTTTTCCCAAAAAAAAAAAAAAAAAAAAAAAAAAAAAAAAAAAACAGAAAATACTCCTTATTTTTAGATTAATTTTTTGTTGATTATTTTTCGAGTTGACGCCTAAAAAAATTAAAATTTTATTTTAAGCGGAAGTTGCCAACAGAAGAAAGAAACATGGCAAAAATGCAGTCACCTTTCAATTGGGGCTATTCCGAAAAGTGGATCGATATGACCACACATGTATAACCGTTATTTGGTATTAAGATTTTTTTGAGAACGATGACAGTTGATCTTTTTTATAAACTTGATTCAACAACTGAACTTGGTTAATAAAAATTCTGAGAAATCAAACTAAACCGCGAATATTTTTAATCACAGCGAAATCACAAATACATTTAAAAGTTACTTCTGGCCGTTACAGTGCTACAGATAGCCAAGATATCGGGTGCATAGCAAAATGGGTACAATGTACGGGTCACAATAAAAATACCAACCGACACAGAATTTTGCATGAAGAGAGAGTTAAGGACAAGGCAGAAGTGTAGCATTTTGAAAGCAAGACATAGAGGGGTAAATATAGAGCAGATGTGCCGGTCAAAAACCAAGGGTAACATTTGTGCAGGACTGTATTGCATTATTCAAAAAATTGACAAAAATGGGTTTAACCCTAAGGAGGTTTCCAATATATTGTAGTGTTGTGGGGTATCACACACGGCTATAGCCTTTGCTTATTTGTTTTAATTATACCCTACACCACAAGGTGGTCAGGGTATTATGTCTTTGTGCATTTGTTTGTAACAGGCAAAAGGAAACGAGATAGACCCATAGTTCCTTTTGATGATCTGCATAGAATCACATTCTGAGTCGATTTATGCATGTCCGTCCGTCCGTCCGTCTGTCCGTCCGTCCGTCCGTCTGTCCGTCTGTCCATGTATTTTTGTAAACAAAGTACAGGTCGCATTTATTGCCCGATCCAGATGAAATTTTGCACAGATCATTTGTTTGGCCCAAGGACGAACCCTATTGAAATTGGAGATAATCGGTCAAAATTTAGATATAGCTCCCATATATATGTTCGTCCGATTTGCTTTTTATTGTGCACCAAACGTGTAATATCAGCCCGAATTGTGTGGAATTTTGCATATACACCCAAATTAGGCCTGAAAATAAGTATGCCAAATTTGATCGAAATCGGTTCAGATATAGCTATAGCTCCCATATATATTGTTCATCCGATTTGTTATTTTTGTCCACCACCGCCGTAATATGCACTCTGCAACAACAATATTTGGGGAAATATATCAAATACAGCTCAGAAATACATTTGCTAAATTTTATCGAGATCGGTTCAGATTTGGATATAGCTCCCATATATAACTTCGTCCGATTTACCTTTTATTGTGCATCAAACGTCTAATATTTGTCCAAATGGGATGGAATTCGGTACTTACGACCGAATTGAGTCTAGAAGCTAGTATGTCAAATTTGGTGAAGATAGGTTCAGATATAGCTATAGCTTCCATATATATTTTTCATCCGATTTGTTATATTTGTTACCCACAACAGTAATATACACTCCGTAACAACGATATTCAGGGAAATATATCAAATACAGCTCAGAAATATCTTTGCCAAATTTTATCGAGATCGGTTCAGATTTGGATATAGCTCCCATATATATTTTTATCCGATTTTAAATTAATTGTGCACCAAATGGGCAATACAATTCCGAATTTAAAAGATATTCGGCATATTTAGTCCTTTGAACTTTAAATTATAATTATAATCATAGCGTATATGATTGAATTTTCCCATAAAACTTTTAATTCTTATGTGGAGCTCTACTAAATTAGCAAGGTGGTGTAGGGTATCATAAAGTCGGCCCCGCCCGACTTTAAGACTTTCTTTACTGGTTTTATTTTTGTATTTTTTTCTCGAGACGAGCTTAATAATCTGAAATTCGTGGTCATATATTTCGACACAACTGTAATAGGTTTCGTTTCCTCCGGCTGTAAATTAATCTTGCATTCAAACTTAAGCCTTGTAGACTTTAATTGTTATTTTACAAGTTTCTAATATTATTGCAAAGTAGTACGGTTCTTTGTGTACGTGGACTACAAATACTTAGGGAAAGCACATAATTGCGTTGCACTCAAAGTTCGTGGTTCTTCACATGCTATTTATTAATAAGTTTTTAATGCTATAAAATAAATCTTTATACTTTTCATTTGTCCATCATAGTGTAGGTATGATTCTTGCACAAACTTGCCAACTCGTCTCAAATCCAACCCAATAGACCCATTTTAAATTCTCTTCAAATTCACAACATTCGAATGATATTGAAATATTTCACAACCATACATGACATGGATTGAATGTTATTTATAGAAAAAGTTTGCACAAAAATGATTGCATAAACAAATTCCAAAGCAACAAAAAAAAAAAAAAAAAAAATATATATATATAAAAAATTGTATTGAATAATCCACATTTTATGATGGCTTGCCAACAGCAAATTGGAAAACTTACCTAAAAAACTCTTGGCCGTCTTTGTACCATTTAACCGAGTTGAGCGTATTGTTTCCAATGCTGTAGCTGCAGAAGAGCTTCGCTTTTTGTGATGCATCAATTATGCGAGGGACGGATAGATTTGTAAGGTACAGTGCATGATTCAGGTGTACATCTGAAAGGAAAACAAATTCATACAGTTACGATGTTGTGTTCAAAGCTCTTTGCCAATCAGCAAAGTAAAGGGAATAGTGGTAGTCACAAAAATAACTCTCCCACACAAACACACGGACACACACCCACACTCATTTACATGCACACACACATACACACAAAGGCAAAAAACTAGTGAACAGAAAATGTGAAAATATGGCTGCTATTTCATAACTTCAGCTGGGTATCAAAGGATAATACTGCAAATCGCTCTGGTTTGCTTTTGGGTCTGAACTGCTGCTGCTGCTGTCGCTACTGCTGCAGCAACTGGCCGCTCTCGCCATACATGGGTGTTGATATGCGATACATGTTTCGTGTGGTCTCTTTGTGGCAGACTGATGGCATGGCATGTGTCTGGCCAGGCTATGGTTGCCATGCATTCACATGCAGCACACAAACACACTCACACAAGCCGAAGAAGATGACGACTACGGCGAGGAGTAGAGAGACAGTATGTACTCAGGCGGACACAAAACTCAGGCCAAACGACTGTTGGTGCTCCCGTGCAGCTGTGTACATGTGTGTGTGTTTGCATTTTTGTTGCAAAATTCAATTTAAACGCGGCTTAAGTACTCTCGATGATGATAAATTTAATATTTTTAACATGTTTTCATGTTGGGTTTCACTGGTCTTTGGCCGTAATCCGTTAATACGCATAATAAATATTTGTTACAGATGAGAGATGATTGAATCGAATAGGTAAAAATCGCTTAAATTTTTCATTCAAGATTAAAGATTATGTCCCTGGTTGAGCATTATATATGAGGGGGGAGGGTTAATGTACATTTTTTTTGTTATGTGAAAATTAAGACATAAACCGAACAAAAAAACACTTTTAGCAGAAAAAATGTTATGTAAAACAATTATAGTAAGCCTGAAGCAAAATTAAATAATTTTAATCTTATCGCACTCAATAACATAATACAAATGAAGTATTTTTTAACAAATGTTTTTGTTGTTCTTATTGTTTAATTGAAATGAGTTTTTTGGCGACATGTCCCTAACACCTTGTTGTAAAGCAAAAAGTTGTAGTCTTTAAATATATAACTGAGTCATTATATTCTCATAGACGAAAAGTGGACTTAACGACATCGTAAGCAAAATGGTGAGACGGTAATGTTGTAGTGCATACTTTTAGGTTCGAAACCTTTAAAATGCTTCAAATGAGAGGTATTCTGAAGTAAGTGAGGTATGTTCGGCTGGGAAATTGGAAAGATTGAGACGACTACAGGGTAGCCCATATTCGACGGACCCATGTTTTTTTTTTTAAATCAAAGAAAAAATAAAAATTTGGCGGTTGGCAATGTTAATCATTTAATTTGTTCCAAGTAGATTTGTTTACATCAATTTTTGAATATGATATCTCTCAAATGGCCGCCTCTGGCGTTGATGTCGTATTGTGCCCTTTTTGCTGCATTTTTCATCGTTTTTGCAAACATTTCGGCCGGAAAAGCGGCTATTTCTTCACTAATGTTGTCCATGAGCTCTTCTACGGTCCTTGGCTTGTTAACGTAAACCTTTGACTTCAAATATCCCCACAAGAAGAAGTCAGGCGGCGTCAAATCGGGCGAACGCGGTGGCCAGTCCAAATCACCACTTTTCGACATGGTGTTCTTAGAAGGCGCACTTCTCACATTTTTTACGGGAGGGACCTTCACCTAATTATGTAGATGGTCTACTGGAGTCATAAGGAGGCACCCTGTCACAGTTCTTAGGGAAGCGTTTTGGCAGGTAAGGATATTCTTCCACTGCGGAGCACGCTGGGGCTGCATAGCTGACCACAGACCGTTGATTTTGTGGCGGATATTTTCATATTCCACTCTTGAAAGTAGGCGCCAAGTTCCGCGGAATAGCTGTTCAATTCCGGAAAGGTAGAGTTTAAAAATTTCCGGAGATATCTCCCTACCTTGGGGAACTCCCTGTTAACCTCAACGGGGTTTGAACTTCTTCTTTCCGGAATTCCACGTACGTCCACAGTTGATTATCCATCGTTTCAATTTCTTTACATCCTCAAACAGTGTGGTGTGGTTGACGATATCAAATGAATTTAATAGGTCAAGGGCTACTAACATTGTTCTGTGACAATGCTTATTCTGGTTTAATCCTCGACTGATGTGCGTGGTCGATTAACACGAGCGACCATCGTCTGTTATGGCGCCCCACACCGGCGCTTGAGTTCTGGTGGCCAACCAAAGGTGCACATTTTCAGCTGACCTCTTAGGCAAGTAAACACGATATTGCGCGCAATGCCATGTTGTGGACGGAATCCGTGTTATTGTTGGCGACTGGATAACTTTCTCTGGGGAGAAGTAAAGCCTCAAAAGTCTTTGCTATTGACAAACCCGAAATTGGCTTGTATGTTTCACCTTTGCGGGCATCTTACCTGTATTCGGACCACCCGGCCCATTTTTCAGGCCTCGGGGACGATGTGGGTGGCTAGCGACGGGTTGTGAACATTTGTCAGGTACTCAACTCCTGGCGTATCATGCTGTTTCAACATAGCCATTGAGATACCGACGGCCAACGCTTTGGGTGACTTAGGTTTGGACCAACGCTTTGGATGACTTAGCGTTTTGGATGACATTTACAAGATCACCCATCGTAAACTATGCGAGGCCTCTTCGCTGGGAAGAGATCTGATACGACGTAGCACTTTTTGCTTCGCCCTATCGCTCTCGAGTGCTTGACAAATTGTCGTTTAATATATGGAGCGCACCTCTTCTAATCAGTCACCGTTATGTTACGACCGAGGTCCTAGCCGTAGGATTGTTGTTTTCAAATGGTGGTGGCACCGGACTCAAACGGGGGAATGTTAGTTTTTCAGATATTTTCAGGACAGAGAGCTAATTTTTTTCTGTTAAGCCCCCAGCATAAACTTCTTAGACGAGAACGCTACAATTTAACGTAAATGTGTATTTTTTCAGTAGGCAGATTAAGTTTGTAAATGGCCACGTGGGTCCAAGTTTTCTTATAGTCCAAAATAATGGTACCTCCCGAAATTTTGTATTTTGGCGATTTTTATCACATTTTCTAAAATATATATTTTTGAAATTCGGTACTTGGTGTTTGTAATAGATTCTACCAGCTGTGGCGGATCATCGTCTATATTGGTTAATGTTCTCGCCCTCTTAATTTAAATCCTCCTCACATTCGGTATTATTTTGTTTGTAGCCACATTTTCAGTGGAATCGCCTAAAATTCGGTATGTAGATTTGTAGTAGGTTCTGTCTTCTGTGGCAGAATAAATAAGAGCTACTGTAGCAGGAAATCAATGTCATCGACTTCACGGTATTTTGACTTTTTACCAACCCATTTGGAAGTGAATCCAATGTCCGTCCGTCTGTCTTTTGAAATTGCGATAAGATCCACATTATTTGACGTAGAACTTTTAAATTGGCGCAATAGTTTGCATTATGTAGACGATGGTTAGAACATGAAAATGCAAACTATGTCGGTTAACGTTTTCGTATAGCTAATATAGAACGATATTCTGATTATTTTAGCCTCATTTTTCCATGAAATTGTTCCAGATTCGGTGTATAACTACTTACGACGGCAAAACATATGCTCACAAACAGGGTGAGAATTTTCCGGTATAAAAGTTATTCGTGATGGAATTCAAGCGTGATTTCTCTACCCACACCCACAAGTGGCTATCGTTAGAGCACTCCAGCATTTAAATGTGAATAAAACTTTTGTGTCTCGTAGCATCGCTCGTAACCGTGATACTGGTAGCGTAGTCCGTCAAGAAAGTGGACTGAAGAAAACAGCAACATCAGCAGAAATGGTTCGAAAAATAAAGAAGCGACTTGATTGAAACCCGCGTCGAAGTGGCCGAAAAATTGCTCATGAGCTGAACATATCGCAATATTCCATTCGGCAAATATAGGAATGTGAGCTCGAGGTAAAGTCATTGAAATTCCAAAAAGTGCAAAAACTTACACCGCAACAGAAAAATGTAGACTCAAAGAGCGTAAGAGTTGCTTCGCTTGGTTTGGTTTTCTCCGATGAAAAAACAATCCTTGTCCAGCAGTTTGTAAACAAACAAACTGATCATGTTCACTTGCCAAAGAGGTCAGCTAAAAATGTGCACCTTCCGTTGGCCCCCACAACTCAACCGCCGGCCATGGTGATGGTGTGGGCCGCCATAACAGCCGATGGTCGCTCTCCGCTCGTATTAATCGACAGTGGTATCAGAAAAAATGCTGAATATTATCGCGAAAATATTCTAGAGGGTGTATTAAAGCCTTGGGCAGGCAAACATTTTGGCCGCAGACCTTGGACATTCCAACAGGACTCAGCACCATTCAGCACTCACCACCCAAGAATGGTTAAAAATTAGGTTCCTTGCTTCATTTCCAGCGCACAATAGCCACCAATATTTCCAGATACCAATCCGTTGGACTGTTGTGTTTGGAGTGTTTTGGAAAGAGAGGTTGGCACTAAAAATACCAAAGTATCGATCGCCTCAAGCAAGCAGTTTAAAAAAATTGTTGTTGCAAAATTGCAGGCTTAATCCCATTAGTGTTGTTTTTATAAAAACAACGTTTGTTGTGCCACGAAGTAGTAACTCCTTGACTATAGAACGAAGACAGCAGTAGTTTTCTTATTGTTATGTGCAAACAATCGAATATTTTCCAGACAAGAAGATGCGCAAAAATGCCGTTCAGGAGAGAGATTCACTTCGAAATACTTGCAGGGTAGGTACCAGAGATATTAATCAGCATCAGTTGTTACTATTATACTCTTATATAGCCAAAGTTAAATCTTAGTCACCATCCCTATTTGAACTAATTGCTTGGATGTGTTTTTCTTTTCCTATTCGGGATTGTTCTAACTATTCGTAGAGGCATTGGTTCTATTATTAAAAGATGAAAATATAAACTAAAATCAATTAATTAATTTTTTGGTTTTATTAATTACGTAAAATACTTTGATAAAGTATAAAACCGCATGTTTTAA